TTTGTTCGAAAGTTCAAAATTACGATTTGAGCTCAGTACACACAAATTTTCAAAGTATCAAAAAAAATGTAAATGGGGGGATTTGGAGTTCAAAGTGCTTTTAGAAACTTTCTGAAACATTAAACTTTAAAACAAGGTCAAATAAAGATAGGGTTAATGGGGGTTTATTTTCTGTAATTGACCTTCAAAGTACGCAAAATCGTAGAACATACATGGGGGTGATTTGGATACTCCTCATCATAAAGTATCTAAATTTTACTTTTGAACGTCAACTCCCCGGCCACCCTGTATATATCAATGAGCAAAACAGAATAAGTACCAGAAAAGTGATACGAGATTTCCAAAATCCTTTTGATTATTACAGTTCAGAAGAATTTAGATGACGCTACAATCTAATTAATTATAATTACCATGAAACACAAATTAGGTCTCAAGCACTGTTTGGTTTTAAAAAGGTTATGAATTATGACAATTGACAAATGATAGACATGTCATTCAGAACGGTGTGAACTACGTAACATAAATGAACCAATCACAGAGCTCTGTTCAACGCTGTGCGTTCTCATAGCGAAGAGTCATTTGAGTATTGTTTATGAATTGAAAGGCTTGCCAAGTAAAACGCACTGAGAAATGTCTTACTTCGCACAGTGTTGCTACTTTACTTAAACAAGTATTGTTTGTGAATACGGGTGTATGCCTCGTAACGAGATGGCGAACGCCGCAACCCGGGCACTACATCGTTCAAGTACCTACTTCAGTGTGAGTGCTTGTAATTACGTATTCATTACGTTTAATTTTTTTTTTGGACGTTGTTTTGTGATGTAATGTTGTCAATAAAATATTTCTCTCTCCCTCATTTAATAACATTCGTCAAGTTCGTAATATATACGTATATTATCATTGTAGTATATTGTTTTAAACTTTCATGGTCACTATAGTAATATAAGTTATTTACGGGATTGTTACCATGTACCTTTTACCATGGAAACTCGCTAAAAACAAGGTACATGGTAACAATCCCGTAAATAACTTATCTCTTATTTATTAGACAAGTCCGTTCGTCCGTCTGTGGTGTTGTTTCAGCGGCCAAACCGTAAGAGATAGATAAAGAGAATGTTTAAGTTTTAAGTTAAGAATAGTCTGATAAGACTACAAACCGCATTCGAGTAACGTAGCACTTCCGGTTTTCGAGAAATCACGAATTTCAAACGAAAACACACAAAATCTCCGAAGTTCTCAATTAATTAAATACATTTTTTTTTCTTTTTTTTTTAATCAGGTTTTGGTGAACATTTGTTTCACTGGTTTGCTAGTATTACTATAATCATTGTAGATTTAACACACACAAATTTCAAGTGCCTGTGGAATATTTTTATTAGCTACTAAAAATAGTACTGACATTTATTGTGCAATGCAGCCATGAAACGTTCTCATTGAGTTTGGATCTCATTAAATTAATTATCTTTGTATAATTCTCACTGCCAATGTTCCAGGTAAACCGATGATTTCTATTTATTTTCCTTGAATAGAGTAGATCGCACGAAACGAATCTTGAAAACTATCCAAGTAAAAGATAACGCCGTGAATTTAATTTCTTAAAAAAAACATTTATTAAGTACTAGTGGCCCGCCCTCGCTTCGCTTCGGGGTAGAATTGATCAAAATCCTTTCTTAGCGGATGCCTAAGTCATAACATCTACCTGCATGCCAAATTTCAGCCCGATCCGTCCAGTGGTTTGGGCTGTGCGTTGATAGATCACTATATCAGTCAGTCACCTTTGAGTTTTATATATATACTAGCTGACCCAGCGAACTTCGTACCGCCCTAAAAAAATAGGAGTTGTCCAGCGGACAAAATTGTGAATCTAAACCATTCTCAGATCCCCATGAACACACACAAAAAATTTCATCAAAATCGGTCCAGTCGTTTAAGAGAAGTTCAGTGACATACACACTCACAGAACAATTATATATATAAAGATATTGCACTTGAATTAGGCATTCCATTAGCTTTGTAAGTTTTTTAGTTAAATATGTATTAACTGCCTTGTGAAGGTTTTGCACCTCTCTGAAATATACATCATCATTGTCATCATCAGTCCATTAATATCCCCACTGTTGGGGCACAGGCCTTCCTTATGGATGCATAGGGGGATTGGGCCGTAACCCACCTCGCAGTCCCAGTACGGATTGGTGGGTGCTAACGACGGCAGATGCAGCTGGGACCAACAGCTTAAAGTGCCTTCCGAAGCACGGAGGAACTCGAGATAGAAGATTTTTGGTCACCCATCTAATGACCGGCGATAGCTCATTTACATTTGAAGGGGTATCTTTGATGTGAGCAAGCAGGCAATTAGTGTTTTGTCTTCATCCATTTCAATTAAATATAGTCAAAATTCTTGAAAAACAATATCATGAATTATTGTTTTGAACTTTCATGGTTACTCACACTATAATAATAATGTAATTCGTGTTACTCGTATTTACGGGATTTTACTATGTACCTTGTTTTTAGCGAGTTTCCGATATCTCGGCACTGATGCAAGCGCCATGATCACGGAGTAATTAAAAACAAAGTACTTGGTAACAATCTCGTAAATAACATACATTACATGACATATATATTTATATATATATATAACTTACTACTTTTATTGTATGTACATTTGTTTTTCTTTTTGCATGTGGTGTTCAGCTTTAAAATTTATTATATATTGTATAACTATGTTATAATAATTTTGTGTATTTGTAATTGTATGAATAAATACTGGTGATCCTAATAAAACAAATAAATAATTATCTGCCTAAACAAATAATGAACTACTACTAGAATAAATGCATACCCACGTGTGTATGCATGTATACTTTGTAATGCATTTGGTTTCTAAATAAATTTAAAAAAGTATATGCAGCTGAAGAAGCGTACATTATTCAAAGTTCGAACCCTAATTTTAGCGCATTTTAGTACTAAACTTCGTTAGGCAGGTGTGGGGTAAGCATTATACTATCAACACGGGATTGTTAAATAATGAAAGAATTCTCCGATCCCACCATCCGTTATCGTAACATTAGAGACTTCCAGAGTCAAGTTTCCGAGAATTCCGTGGTTAGTTTGTGGTTACGTAGTTATGTATGTCTTATAAAATTGTTTAGTACATGGTAAAGACTAAGTCAGTGGGTCGAGAGTTGTACGAATTGCTGTCATTTGCGACGCGTGTCGACATTTCTGCTGAGTCTTTTGATCTGCAAATAGCGGGTTCAAACACCATGTTATATATATATGATACAGACAGACATATTGCGCTGGTGTCACGTGTTTAATTGTCGTCGTGAAAAGGCTTTTACTGCCGCTTTATGCGGTACATACATGAGATATCAAAGGTTACGAGGCCTTTAGGCTTTTATGAATTGCTGAGTAATAACTCCCCTGCTTTCACGGGTGATTGCTAGAACGTACTCAGGTTATGTAGTATCTATGATAAATATTTAAATTGAACGATTACGCAACTAAACAACTTATGTTTTATGCGTAGTTAAACAGTAAGTTTTTTTTAAATAAAACTATGTATTTGTGAGTGTGAGTCAATTCTTAAAATATTAACTACATAATATTATTGTAGTGATGTAAGTAAGTACCTTGGTCATCAAACTCCATTACCATTCGATATTCACAGCGAAATAATGTGGCAGCTTCTAACCATTTAGTGTCGACGCACCCTGGCCACCGACCACAATCACAAAACGCCGCCACCGGCATATTTCTTGTAGTTTTCATGTGGGTGGCCGCCACACGCTACAAATCGTCGTTGCTCGCATCTTGTGGCCCGCACCGGCCACTTAATGCGCCGATACAAAACGTCGCCACACGTCACTCGCGCGATTCCCCACCCCTCTCTCCCTTACCTTAGTCGGCCGCTGTCGCGCGCTTCTGCCAGTTTAGTAGACGCTTTTTTCTTCTCGTGGTGGCGTTTGTGGCTGTGGCGTGTGGCCCATGTGCGGCGACACTTAGTGTATAAAGTAAATCATGTCAGATTCAGGTATTTCTCAGTAGCTACTCAATGTTGTCATGCAATCAGCTTCGTCTCTCCACGGAGGCTGATGTTGCGTGCTGACTGCTAAATCATTGACGTGCTTGATGAGCGAATGGCAAACCTACTTACTTGACGTACATAAAGACAATAATTTCGTTAATATATTTCGGTTATTTGCTAAGTTAAATATTGTCTATTCCTGTCTGCCTTGAAAAGTGAACGCGGTCGTAATCTGTGCAGTGCATGTAATATTTGATATGGATTGATGACTTGACGCAATGCTTATTTGGATACAATTAATTAATATCTTTATATGTAATATTTAATAGCACGTATTACATGAAACGCATTCTCAATTAAAATAAGCGAAAAAAGTAATCAATTAAAGCCGCCAAAAATGTTGTGTGAGAATAAAAATCCTCTTCTCTATTTGCTGTGCCCTGTTTAAGGTCTACCATGATCAAAGCATTGTACCTACTAAGATCTAAGAAAACATTGTAGAACGCAATAAAGTATTAATTGATTGATTGAAAAAAGGGCGGAAAAATTGCTACTCCGCGCACCATATTTTACAACAACATTTTATTAAAGCTGCCACAGATCGCTTCGTCTTTTACACATCAATTCGCCCAATTTTATTTTATAATAATAGTTTAATATGATCTCGACACTGCTCAAAAGTCACAAACTTCGTATGAAAGATTTTAAATCCTCGTTATGTCCGTTGTGGCGCTTTACAAATACAAAATATATAATATCATACAAAACTTATTGACATTTGACTCGAATCGAGATTGAATTCGATATTGGTTCGTGCAAGGGATACAGTTGAACAGGGAACGCTCAGTCTTTTCCCTGTCTCAGTCGGCTGTGAAGTTAGCGCAAGTCACGGCGCGCCGTTAACGACGATGCGCTCGCTGCTAACTTCACATTTGACACGTATCTTCTATACTAGTAGTGTATGACTCACTGTTGTGCCGGGGTGCGGGCGCGTGCTGCTCGTTGAGCACCTGGCACAGCTCCGCGGAGCCGGTCCAGTAGTTGTTGCCCCAATAGAACATGGAAGTGTACCGCCCGCTCGCGTCTTCCACTGAAACAAAGATCATATAACCATTAATCTATATAATAATAATAAGACCCTTCAATGGTACAGATATGAGCGAGGCTGTTACATACATAATCATAATCAAAATAATTTATTCACAAGCACTAATGAATATCTAGAAGCTACGCCATCGTTTCGTATATCTATGGCGGGAGACCTTGTATTGAGAAGAACCGGCAAGAAACTCAGCAAGGGCGGTTTTCCTCTCCCTCTATTATTATTTATTAAAGCCAAATGGTCCTCAGATAGCAATTAAAACTACATTATTAAGTAAAACTATATTTTTTAAGTTAAGATTAAGCTTTACCTTCAATTATATAAATTACATAAGTGCTGTTAAACTTTAATCATGTTGTGTACACGTAAGAAGGAGTACTGTCTAGATTACTTCAACAATAATTTTATGTTAAACAGTTATTGACTGTATTCTGTTAGTGTACCTATAATAAATAAATAAATATCAAGTAGTCAAATTGAAAATCACTTCAGAGATGATTCATGAAGTCACATAAAGAATCCTAAAAATCTCGCAAACTAAGAAGCTATTATCTAGCTATTAATGAAATAAAAGCTTAACGAAATAAATTGTGTTTAATAGATAATTAAAAACTCCTTAAATGAAAGTAATAAAATTTATCACTAATATGGTGACTCTTATACTTATCTACTAAAAAATACATAAAGTAAAAACTGGCTGATCTCGCCTTAAAACAAAAATATAAAACATGACATTATTGAACAACATTACGATTTTCTTGAATTTTAATACTTCGTATTGCCTCCTCGTGCTTCCATTACTGCGGTTACCCGGTTTGGCATGCTTCTTATACGATTTTAGCGAATATTCTCCCATTCCTCTGTGAAAGAAATTTTGAGGTCACGAAGCGTAATTGGGGGAGGCTTTCGTTGTTTTACGCAGATGCGTATTTGACGTATATGGAGATTGAATTCGATATTGGTTGATGCAAGGGTTGAATAGGGAACTTCCCTTTCAGCTTATTCCCTGTCTCAGTCGGCTGTGAAGTTAGCGCAAGTCGCGGCGCGCCAAAACGACGATGCGCTCGCTGCTAACTTCACATTTGACACGTATCTACTATACTAGTAGTGTATGACTCACTAGGGACTCACTAGGGAGATCCCTAGCTCGTCCCAAGCATGCTCGGTCGAGTTTATATCCGGCTAGCTTTCTGACCTGGATTTATTGCTCTCGAGTGTAGTACGACCCCATTGGAAGTACAAACATAAAAAAGCGATTAGCCGACATTTAACAAAGAAATACACAGAAAACACTAAATCATTATGCAGTGCATGTTCGAAAAGGTAAACCTACTTTTTTTTTGAGAGATTTATAAATTGTTGGTGGTGTGCATACCCAATAGGTATATAGGTAGTGTCTCTCGAACTTAGAGAATGTGAATGCAATGTTAAGTAGCTTTCAAACTGATAACATCTGCAGGTAACGTGTGAGGAAGGTCGATTTATTTTTACTTAAAAACAACTTGATACACATGAAGCGTTTATTTTTTTCATTAGAGTTTTTGTACAGTACAGAAGAACAATTTATTAAAGTTATGTTTTAATTTTTTGAAGAATTTAACTGCTAGATGTTTGAATGTAAAGAAAAGTTTACTAGAAAAACAATTTATTCTTTTTGTACACCGAGAATAAAAGCACATGTCTGAAGGCGCCAGGAAGGTCATATAGTCGTGGTCAAGTCACAATGGGTACAGATTGTGAAGTGGGTACAGACAGATGGACCCCCCCCCCTGGCACCGCCTTTGGTCCGAAGTCTTGCTAAATTGTTGATGCATATTTCTTTGCATCAAGCTTTATATTTATAAATGATAAATACGCTGTGACTATTTACGCTGTGTTTTGTCCATAACACTCTAATACCGTTTGTCATTCAACGGTCACAGACAAAACATGGAATAACTAGTCCAACCTTATTCTTTGCTTTTTTTTTGACATAAATTATGTAGAGTCTGTGCGGGAAGAGAATGGGCGTGGCGAAAAACGGAACTAACATTAAGATTTTTATTTGGCAATCAAACCCAGCAATCTGTAAAACGTCAAAGTTTTTTATTGATACGGTTTTTTGTATTTAATCATGTCTAGAAGGGGTAAAACCTTACAAATACGGTAGAAAAGCACTACAGCGCCCTCCGATCTAAATCCCATTCTCTTTCCGCACAGACTCTAATCAAAATATTATAGCAACAGATTAAACATATTAATAAGGAGGTAAGTATCTAACACAATAACTCCGAATCAAACTACATTAGCCTGTGATAATTTGTGTACTGTTACATTGCATGATTTGTATGTGTGAAGGTACTGAAGGTACAATAATATTTAAAATAAATTGCCAACATTTTTGGAGTTTACTCTTTAAGAATCGATTTGCATATATAAGAGGCCCGGTATGAGAAAAAATGTGAGGAGTAAAATCTATCGATGAATGACCTCGTTACGTTTTTGGTGCGCATTAGGCATGCGTCCGATATATCAAAACGAATCCAAAATCCGATTTCAAACACAAATCGATACCGAACGATTTCTCAACAAGAAAATCCGATTTCAGAAATCTAACCGAACCAAAACGCTAGCGATCTAATACCACAAGTATCCAAATGTAAATCGGATTCGAAATTCGTGCTTTCGTTTTCAGAAGTCAGATTTCGTGCTCGGAAGTCCGATTTCGATTTGCTGTTTACGGAAATCTATTGCTCTTCTCTGAGGTGGGATTATTTATCACTGAAAAGATATGTCGTCTAAAAACATCAAAAGTCGAGCACCTTACATTTTCTGACGCTAACCTGAAGTAATTAGGTTTGATTTTGTAAATGGTTTGAAAAATAATAAAAACAAACAGAAAAACAAAAAAAAATACTAAAAAAATATGTAAAAAGAAATCATTGTATAAAAGCCGATTTTTAAATGCGCCGCAAAAGTTTTACTCTTAACCCTAAACATAACTTTTCTGCTAGTCCTAAGCCTAGATTTAAAGCATGAAGGAAAATCGCGAAAATCTACGAGTATCCTTGCTTCCTACAATTAATTGTTTGTGATTGTCGTTAGCTAATAAAACCAAATCATAACACAAACTAGTGAATTGGCTAAGTTCGGCACATCTGAAATCGGATATCTAAAAACGGATTTTAAAATCGATTTTGAAATCTGAAATCCGATAAATATCCGTTTGCGTTCAAAACCAAAAACGCCCATGTCTAGTGCGCATCCTTTTCGAGCCAAAATGACTTAAATCCGAGTGCTTAGGTGCAAAAGATTTAAATTGAAACTACAGTGTATTTTGTTAGACCATAGATTTCTTTATTAATTAGGTGACGTTTTGCCTTTATGTAGCTCCAAACATATTTACAAGCGTGATGCAACGAACTACAGCGCCATCTATTTTGATACATATGAACTATAAATTTAAATGCACAAATGGCGTATACATAATCGCCCTATATAATTAATGTAAAATATTTCGTCGATTAGTTATAATAAATGTATATGAAATGAATAAATATATATATCTTATTTTAATTAATTTGTTTATTTACCCTTTCATACAGTATCAAACTTTTTTAAGTTAAATAAACTCTTAGACTATCGAACTTATGGAGTAAACTCCAGTCGGGCGTCGGTGCTGACACACACAATTTTTTTTTCTTCGTCCTTTAAATAAATGGAGGTTATTTATTAAACTTGAACTTTTAAAAAATATGGGGAAGAGTGTCCTGTAATTCAATCATCGTTGAAATTATTATTTCCGTACGCCGCCTCTGGAATGGAAGGCGTAGGGTTGACGATTTGGTTGGTAGTCATCTAGTTAGGTGATTCTTGTGTTAATAATAACTTAAATGTGAAATCAACGTAAATATGATTACTTATTTCATAGGATGGTATTTAAAACTTTTTTTTTCATATTATTTTTATTCAAATATTTTTCAATTTGCCTCTTAACTAGGTTATTCTTATTCAAATTTCAACGTGTTTAATAAAATACTGTTCGTACTCGAGGCTGCTATTTGATACAGCCAGGGGCGCGGGGCGGAAGTCGGAAAAAGAAAGTATAGAAGGATAGTTAAGATAAAAGAAGATATACAAGAAAATAGGGAGGTAAAAAACAAAATAGAGAAAAGTTAGATTTATATGTTTTCTAACAAAAAAAATTAAGAGGAACACCATCGTAAATATTGTATTAATTACACATAAATAAAATACAAAGTAAGTCAAAAAATTTTGATGCTCTGAAAATTACACAAGGATTAATGTTACCAGTGGTATGTCCTTAAATCTTAGGTCTAATTGAGTTGTCCAGAACGTCCCGCGGTTCGTGCCAATGCACACAAGGGGAGTTAGTGTAAAGAGGAGGGTCCGAGAGGGCGCTTTCACGGTTGGGGTCTGGGGCAAAGGCTTGCTGATACCCTTCCCCCATCGTGTGAAGATGGAACCGCAGGAGGTGTTTTTAGTGGGTAGTCGCGGCGCGGCGTGAAGTATGCCCCGTGGAGTCCCACATACCCCCAGGGCAGGGCACGGTCGTGGGAAGGTCTAATTGAGTTAGCTTTTTCCTCTAATCTACGGTTAAAGACATTTATTTTCTCAAAAGAATTTACAAAAAATCCACTTACAGAGAAAATACAAAGCATAATTAACAAAAACAATCATTACATCGTGTCGACTAACAATTCAAAAATGTAGGTAGATTTACAAACAGAAACAACAATCTCAGTCTCTGCGCATGCGAACAGCGGAGACACATAAAAGCAATGACACAGTGCGGGATGTTGCGGTGCGACTAATCTTACATAGAAATGCATGATAAAAAAAAAATACGTATCATTTTATCTTACACAGATCAAATATATATATATATATATATATATTAACATATCTATGCATATATGTTTTGGAAATTCTAGGTTAAGTTCGTCTTAGTAATATAGGAAACTTATGTTTTTTTGTTACTTTCAAAGTG